CCAGTGTTTAGTTCAACATCAGACTCGGCAGTGTTTAGTTCAACAACAGACTCGCCAGTGTTTAGTTCAACAACAGACTTGCTAGTGTTTAGTTCAACATCAGACTCGATAGCCCTTGGTTCAACAGATTCGGCAGTGTCTAGTTCAACAACAGACTCGATAGCCCTTGGTTCAACAACAGACTCACCAGTGTTTAGTTCAACATCAGACTCGGCAGTGTTTAGTTCAACAACAGACTCGATAGCCCTTGGTTCAACAACAGACTCACCAGTGTTTAGTTCAACAGCAGACTTGGTAGCCCTTGGTTCAACAACAGACTCACCACTGTTTAGTTCAACATCAGTCTCGGCAGTGTTAAGTTCAACATCTGACTCAACAGCCCTTGGTTCAACGACAGATTTGGCAGTGTTTAGTTCAACATCAGAATCGATAGCCCTTGGCTCATCAACAGAATCAGCAGTGTTAAGTTCAACATCAGACTCGATAGTCCCTGGTTCAACAACAGATAATGCAGTTTCTACTTCAGCTTCAGACACGATAGTCCTTAGTGCATCCGCAGAACCACCAATATCTGATCTTGTATCACAGTCAGCAGTCCCTATTTCAAGTACAGATTCAACGGTCTTCAGTTCACCGTCAGTGACAGATGTTCTTAGTTCAACAACAGAGTCTGCAGTATCTAGTTCATCGCCTGATGGTTCCGCTATACCAAGCAGTTCAGATGCCTCATTTATTCCTTCGGATTTATCCTCTTTTCCATCTAGCTCAGACACTGCAATTTTTGCAACAAGTTCAGATAACTCCTTTATCCCATCAAGCTCCGATGATTCAGTTATCCCATCAACTTCAGGCATCTCTGATTTCTCGCCAAGTTCAGATATCTCCGCCATTCAATCAAGTTCAGATGTCTCCGCTATTCCAACCACTTCAGATATTTCATTTTTCTCCTCAACCTCCGTTGACACAGTTTTCCAATCAAGTTCAGTTGTTTCTGCGTTTCCGTCAAGCTCAGACATTTCATCTTCTTCAAGTGAGGATGCCTCCATATTTGTGTCGAGTTCAGACATCTCCGATATTTTCTCAAGTTCTGATGTTTCTTGGATTTCATCTAGCTCGGATATATCACTTATCCCATCCAGTTCGGATGTTTCCGCGTTTCCATCAAGCTCTGATGAATCAGTTATCCCATCCAGTTCGGATGTTTCCGCGTTTCCATCAAGCTCTGATGAATCAGTTATCCCATCCAGTTCGGATGTTTCCGCGTTTCCATCAAGCTCTGATGACTCAGTTATCCCATCCAGTTCGGATGTTTCCGCGTTTCCATCAAGCTCTGATGAATCAGTTATCCCATCAAGTTCGGATGTTTCCGCTTTTCCGTCAAGCTCAGACATTTTATTTCCTTCCAGTGAGGATGTCTCCATACTTGCGTCGAGTTCGGACATCTCCGATATTTCAACCAGTTCTGACGTTTCTTTGATTTTATCCAGCTCGGATATCTCATTCATTCCATCAAGTTCGGATGTTTCCGTAGCCTCACCAAGTTCCGATTTCTCCAACATTCTGTCAAGTTCTGATGTCTCAGATATTCCACCAACTTCGGATGCCTCCATATTTGCATCATATTCAGAAGCCTCTGACACTTTTTCAGACTCGGATATATCCGCTGTTCTATCTACATCAGAATTTTTAAGTTCCGAATTTATGTCATCTTATGCATCATCCGATTCTTTATCAAGCATTGATTTGGGATCGTCTTACATACCCTACGTGTCATCTGCCGCTTCAGAAATTTATAGTTCTAGTATTGAGTTTTCAAGCTTTGACTCATCATCCGCATTCGACTTTAGCCCCTCCAGCATTGGGATAGAGTCAAGCGCTGACCTTGGATCGTCTGATGTATCATTTGCATCCTCATCGGAATCAGAAATATTTAGCACTGTCATTGAGTCGTCAAGTTTTGAATCTACGAGCTTTGGCTTTGGATCGCCTGAAGTGTCATTTGTTTCATCATTGGATTCAGAAATTTTGAGTACTAGCATAGACTCATCAAGTTTTGATTCATCGTCCTCATTTGATTTTAGTTCATCGAGCATTGGAATAGAGTCAAGCGCTGATTTTGGATCGTCTGATGTGTCATTTGTTTCCTCACTGGAGTCAGAAATATATAGCACTGGCACTGAGTCGTCAAATTTTGAATCTTCAAGCATTGGATTGTCTGATATATCATTTGCATCCTCGCCGGATTCAGAAGTACTTAGTTCCGACATTGAGCCGTCAAGCTTTGAATCTTTAAGCAGTGATTTTGGATCGTCTGATGTATCGTTTGTTTCTTCACTGGAATCAGAAATATTCAGTTCTGGCATAGAGTCATCAAGTTTTGAATCTTCAAGCTTTGACTTTGGATCGTCTGATATATCATTTGTGTCCTCACCGGAATCAGAAATTTTAAGTTCTGACATAGGGTCATCAAGTTTTGAATCTTCAAGCTTTGATTTTGGATCGTCTGATATATCATTTGCATCCTCACCGGAGTCGGAAATATTTAGTTCTGGCGTAGAGTCACCAAGTTTTGAATCTTCAAGCATTGATTTGGGATCGTCTGATGTATCATTTGTATCCTCACCGGAATCGGAAATATTAAGTTCTGGCATTGAGCCATCAAGCTTTGAATCTTTGAGTAGTGATTTTGAAGCAACTGACGTGTCCTTTATATCATCACCAGATGCAGAATCATCGAGTATTGGCATTGAGTCATCAAGTTTTGACTCTTCAAGCTTTGTTTTTGGATCGTCTGATATATCATTTGTTTCCTCGCTGGAATCAGAATTATTCAGTTCTGACATAGAGTCATCAAGTTTTGAATCTTCAAGCATTGATTTTGGATCGTCTGATATATCATTTGCATCCTCGCCAGAATCAGATGTATTAAGTACTGGTATTGAGCCGTCAAGCTTTGAATCTTTAAGCAGTGATTTTGAAGCAACTGACGTGTCCTTTATATCATCACCAGACGCAGAATCATCGAGTATTGGCATTGATTCATCAAGCTTTGACTCTTCAAGCTTTGTTTTTGGATCGTCTGATATATCATTTGTTTCCTCGCTGGAATCAGAAATATTCAGTTCTGACATAGAATCATCAAGTTTTGAATCTTCAAGCATTGATTTTAGATCGTCTGATATATCATTTGTTTCCTCACCAGAATCAGATGTTTTAAGTACTGGGTTTGAGTCGTCAAGTTTTGAATCTTCTAGCAGTGATTTTGAAGCAACTGACGTATCCTACTTTATATCATCACCAGACGCAGAATCATCGAGTATTGGCATTGAGTCTTCGAGCTTTGATTCGTTGTCATTTGAATTTAGTTCATCAAGTACTCGGATAGAATCAAGCGCTGATTTTGGATCATCTGATATATCATTTGTTTCCTCACAGGAATCGGAAATATTAATAGAGTCATCAAGTTTTGAAACTTCAGGTATTGGTTTTGGATCGTCTGATGTAGCATTTGTATCCTCACCAGAATCAGAGTCAACATCAGGTATTATAGAGTCATCAATATTTGACTCATCGTCCTCATTTGATTTTAGTTCTCCAAGCACTGGGATAGAACCAAGCATTGATTTTGGATCCTCCGATCTATCGTTTGTATCATCATCATCAGAAATAGAATCATCTCCTGGTGTAATAGATCCCTCCAGCTCTGACACATCAAGCGCTGATTTTGAATCAACAGAGGTTTCATTTGAGTCATCATTTGATGCAGCATCATCAAGCATCCCAATAGAACCTTCGAGCTTTGACTTGTCTAGTGAGGATATTAGCTCTTCGGATGTTACTTTTGGAGCATCATTTGACTTCTCATCTTCTGCTGCTGACATACAGTCATCAGATTTTGAAATATCTAGCGTGTCACTTGGTCCATCTGGGGTATACTTTGAAACGACGTTTGAAATAGCATCTTCTAGTAGCAGCTACTATGATGACAGCAGTTTTGATCTGTCCAGCGGAACGTCAGATGTGTTCTTTTTCAGCTCTGATGAATCAGTCCAAGATACATTCGTTGCGACGTCCACAACAGTTGCAGCTTCGTCTAGTTCCGTTGTAACGACCACACCGACTCCCATTGACCCATGTGCCCTGGCACCTTGCAGTAATGAAGGGGCTTGTCAGAATAATGTAGCTGGGGGTTACCAGTGTATTTGCCTGTCAGGTAAAATGGGAATATTTCTTGTCTCGTGTTAACAGAATCTCATTTGAAATGGTTAGATTCGAATTTAAGGATATGTTTTTGTATACTTGAATATATTCAATTTGGAATTGTTTATAAAATTGTATTGTTGCTTTTTAATTTATATAGCGAACAACGTGTGAATGTCTCATATCGAAAATTTAACAATGGAATATCTTTAAGTTATAGTTTTGCTTGCCATGGTAGAACGAAACGCTTTCGTGCCTTTCCATTCGGTAGCCCTATGTTGGTAAATAACGCGAAGAAAGAATATTAGTTGTTACGCATTCTTATATAATTAAATAAGTGAAGCAGCTGTATGTTGTCATTTAGTTATGGGCAACAAATGCAAGTGAATTTATATTTTTTTAAAGTTATTATAGTTATGTATTTTCCCCATTTTCAAGGTTTTACTGGAGTCAACTGTGAAATCAATATAGACGACTGTGTAACAGGTAATGGTGAGCCTGTCTGTGGAATACACGGAACTTGCACTGATCTGGTGAATGATTTCAGCTGCACTTGTGATACAGGTACATCATCTTCCCTCGCCCCTCTCTCTCTCTCTCTCTCTCTCAAAACGATTTTTTTCTTTTTATTACATTTTTGATATACATGTATACATGAGATGGATATTAAATTATTATATTAAGTGTAAGTTGAGTATTACTTGGCCATTTAGATTAGCATTGTTTATTATACATGTAATGTAACTAACTTTTAATTGAAACCATGTCTACACTCAAAGAGCACCGTTTCATTGTATGTCTTTTACGAGAACTGGCCAAATACTGATGTTGTTCATATATTTACAGGCTGGATTGGCCCCCTTTGTGACGTCAATGACTGGTGTGAGGGGGTGAACCCCTGTCAAAATGAGGCCTTCTGCAGCCAGACCAGTAGTTCCTTCACGTGTTCTTGTCAAGACGGTACGTCTGTTGACCCTTTTAACGAAGTCTGCACTTACGTACATGTACGAGTTTTATTTTGTATTTTGGTGAAATATCTGTTTATAAGTGATTGCGTCCTCTGCCTACTGTTGTAAAGTAAATGGCTTACACTTAACAACACTACTGTTATTATTGATGAAATTAAAGTATTAAGGCAATTTTTTATTATTATAAATCCCTTCTATGTTATATTTTTATTATTATTTAGGTTTCACTGGATCTCTTTGTGAATCAAATATAAACGATTGTGCAAACGCCCCGTGTGAGAACGCTGGACAATGTGTTGACGGGGTAAACTCATACACGTGCACCTGTGTAGCTGGTAAGTACAAATGTAAGGGGAAGCAGCACACGCCTGTATTGTCAAAGTATTGGTGACGTTATTTTGTCAGAAAGGTTGCCAAATATGCTATCTAACGAAGAAAATATAATTCCATCATATTCGTGTAATATACTGTCTAGATAGTAGTAGGGTTAGAACCATTTGTAACACAAAGTACCCGGTAAGGTACCACTTTATATACTTCTGAACTAAAATGAATTGTTTCGTTTCACAATTCCAGGCTACACGGGAACAAACTGCCAAACCTTAATAAACAACTGTGCGTCCAATCCGTGCTCTGCGCGAAGTACATGTGTGAACGGCGTCAACTCGTTTACCTGCAATTGTCACTATGGCTACCACGGAACATTCTGCGACTCATGTAAGTTCTGTAATCGATGCATTCTGAGATTTGTAATGTTTTTTCATTCTTTACATCTAACCTTCAATATGTAATTTATTTTAATAAATGTCAAATTAAGTCTTTCAGTGTTTGGCATGCAATATTTACACATCTAAAAGAATTTCATCTGCTGTTTTACACCTCAGTGAAAGTAGCAGTCTATTTTCCCAAAAACAATAGGCAAAACAAATTAAAACATTTGCACTCCGATAGTTTAGTACATAGTGTCGCTTTCGCCGTCTTTAGCCTTATTTCCTGTTATTTGAATATTTTTTATGTATAATTTATATATATCTTTGTGAAGTCCAAATTTTCAACACCTTAGAAATTGTTAAAGACAAAAATATTAAGTCCTTGTAGATCTATTATGTTTAAATCCATGTTGTGATTGCGATGTTTACCTTCTAGATTACGTCAAACAAAACGTGCTACGTCACGTCACGTCACGGCATTGCAATACACGCCACAATGCTGTGACGTAATTTATATAACGTTGCCAAGCGTCAGCTTTGAGTTTGCCTAGTTTCCGTTCTCTGTACAACATGGTTTTTATTTCAACAATTTACATCTACTGTAAGGAATGTAGATATGACAAAAACTAAGTGTATAATGGGCTTCATATTAGTCGGATGTAAACTTTTAATGACTGCAGTCTTGATTTCATAATGCCCGTTCATTAAGATTGTTAACGCCCTCCACAGATCTTATAAGGCCTATTGTAATATGGTTTAATCTAAAAGTGTTTGTCAAATAGTTGCTCTACGGTACTCCCCCACCCATTACTTGGTAAACATTCATTGGTAATACGAAGCTTATTCAGCTAAATTGGTTTTTGATTAAGATTTTATATAATTTTTGTAATTATAGTGATCATACCCGCCGCAGGACAGATGTATGAATTTGGAACAAACTTTTCGCAGTCATCGTTTACTGAAAGAGACGATGCGACAAAGAAAATAAAAATCGCCGGCAAGTTTCGTTTCTTTAACCAGAAATACAAGAAGATGTATGTAAGTGTGCAGTTGGTATTTTTTCCATATCAAACTCCTTTTCAAATATTAATTGTACATGGTTGTTTTGTCACATTTGTATCACGCCGAACCTAAGTATTCACGTATTAATTAGTTAGGACGATAGGGTTACCGCTAAAGTCAGTGTTTTAATTCTCTCTTCAACAAACTTTTTACAACGCAAATAAGAAAAACTTTCAACGACATATAGGTTCTGATTTTCAGCCTTTCTTTTTATCTCTACTATGGGCCGCCCTGCTCCCGTAAAGACTCATTGTCTTTTACCTTTCAACTATATGATAATTCTTACAATTTTCTTTCTTTCTTTCTTTCTTTCTTTCTTTCTTTCTTTCTTTTTACCTGCATACAGTATTACGTCACTGTAACAATAAATAATGGGAAACTTGTCTCCCTATTTAATTCAGCTCGGAACCAACGGTGTGGTGAGTTTTGGCAGACGATACAACTCCTTCATTCCCCGCTCGCTATACACCTTATCCAAGGCAGTGTTTGCTCCACTGTGGTTTGATCAAGATTTGAGAGGGAGATATTTATCTGACAACGAGGTCTCCATGTGGTACAAGGTATGATTAGTCTAGATGGGGCTTATTTAAAAATACAACCAATCGGTGAAGGTTGGACATTTTTGTGTTAAACAACTGAATTTATACAAAGACATGGGGATAAAATTATTCTGTGTACCATGATTATGTGCGTAGTTAAAAGGCTAGTCACTAAAAGAATAAACATGTAGGCTATCTCACCGAAAATTAAAATGGAAGAATTGAATAAATGGGGATTTAAACGTTCATTTCTCAGTTTGAATAATATGTATGTTTATTTATTTATTTATTTATTTATTTATTTATTTATTTATTTATTTCCGCAAATGTCTGCATACGCAAACACTAGTATCTATTGTTCACATGTAAAGGGACAGTGATGTATTAATCATAGGTATATGACAGCGACGCGGACCTGGACCAGAAGGACAGGTACATCATGGACCTGGCTGAACACGACATTAACACCTATGGTGAGCTGAACAAACCGTTCAAGGTGGCCTGGGCCATAGCTGTCACCTGGGACAACACCAGACCCTACTATTACCGAAGATATATTGATAGCGAGGTGAGTGAAGGGCTACCTGTTTGTGTGGTTTCACCTTGATTTGGTCATGTATAGTCATTCGGTAGTGTCATTTTACGAAAAAATCGAAAAATGAATAAACAAACAAGCAAATTCATAGACAGATAAATGAATATAATTTGAAAAATGCAAACATAAAAATACTATTCAAACCACTGCAGTGTGAGTGTGCGTGTGCATTTGTGTCGCTTTGTACATGCGTTCATGTGCGTGGAGATACTTTAGTTGAGCAACAATGATTGTTAAAATTAGAGATTAGAGAAAAGAGATATATAGCGATAGCACAGTAAAAATGCTAAAGCATGGTAGCAACATCGCAGCCACGAGCACCAAAAGTATAGCGGTAGCTGTGGGTATACATGTACCTGTCATTAGTGAGGAGTCTAACTTAATTGTTCGGTGTGCTTTCCTTTCAGAGATACAGCTATCAAGTGATTTTTGCCACCGATAGACAGCGTTCCTTTGCCATAACAAACTACGGGACGTTCGTGCGTCCGTTGTCTAGCACGCGCAGTGCTTACATTGGCTATACTGCCGGAGAGGGCTCATCAGGATCGAGCAGGTGGATCTTCCAAAATTTTGCATCCGGGTCGGAACTGTCCACCAGGATTAACGAGGAACTCGGAAACACTGGTAAGATTGTTGTTAGTTCTTGTTAAATAGAATACTGTAGAGCTATGGATTTAGATGTGACACGTAGACTGAAGGCCCCCGGTTATTGATTTTAATCGTTAAAACGTGTTTTGTCAAAAAAAAAAAAAA